TTTTYYCCCCTTTAATTTTTACATTTTTACAAACGACGGACATCTGTCACGGYGGAGAACTTTAATTTAGGCCTTTCTACTTGGTTGTACTGTGGACAACCAGGAGGTGRGATCTGGYTGTCAGAAACAAAAAAATGTTGTCTGGGACAACCTAAAGGCTCTTGTGTCGACCCTTGTAGTTGTTAGCAAAGATGGGGAGAGGTTCACCAGTTAGTAGTTGTTCACAAAGTGGTGAACCTCACCCCACCTTTGCTTGTGAATGACTGAACCTTTCAGGGATATTATGCCCTTTATACCCAATCATGATCATCATAATCTGTTCACCTGTGGAATGCTCCAAACAGGTGAGCATTCCTCAACTTTCCCAGTCTTTTATTGCCCCTGTCCCAGCTTTTTGGAGCGTGTTGCAGCATCAAACTCAAACTGATTTGAATATTTGCAACAACCCAATAAAGTTTATCCATTTGAACATTAAATATCTTGTCTTCATAGTGCATTCAGYTGAATATAAGTTGAAAAGGTTTTGCAAATCATTAAACTCAGTTTTTATGTTTTACACAACATCCCAACTTTATTAGAAATGGGGTTGTATTCTACAAAGTATARAACTACACAAGCATTTCTAGTTATTTTGTTTGTATCCCTGGTACTTTTTTCTGCTAATATACAGTGGTTGTGATCAAAGCACCGACAAGTTCTTTGTCATCCTTCAGAGCCCATATCCACATACAATGACTTCATCCTTTATTTTCACTACATCACTCCGTGTGAAACTGATTAGAGACAATTCAAACATCCAATCTCAGAATATTTTGTGAAAATCAAAACCTGACCTGGATTTTTAAAATATAACAATAAGAGAAAGAAAATTCCCACAGCATTTACAAGCCCCTCAGGCCTGACCARGTCTGAGAGTTTTTCTGAAGGAGGGTACGATAGTTTGTCTGCATGGTAGATCAAATCAGCACATCTCTCACTACTTAGGTGTCTGATTCCTTTGCCTGGCTGGCACACATCTTACTTGTCAGTGCGGAGTTGTTTGTTGCTTGTGTGTCACTCGACCTGTTGTGTAACGCTTATAAAAGATTTAAAGAGACAGGAGGCCTTGAAGAGACCGAAAAATGACCGAATTGCAAAGAAAGTGTGAAGCACACAAAACAAATCTGTGGAGAGAAATAATAGCCTGTGCTTACAGATAAACTAGAATAACACTTAAAGTACACTACAGTTAAATAAATACGATCAGCAATTCGACAACTTACAGTTGTACCATTAAAGCCTTAAAACATAAAAACACGATCCACGATTTCTTGTAACATTAGACATTATTTTATTAACATTTATTTAAACTGTAAAACTGTAGTTTTTATAAAAAAWTGTCACACAGACTGCACCATTTTATTAAGCCTGCAAAGCATACAAGATAAATGATGACCTTCTCTAGGTTCCCGGTGCATGGCTATATGCGAGCTCTTATCTACCCTCAAGGTTAATCTTGGACARTATCTGACAATCATCCCTTTTAAATGTAACAAGAATGCCTTGACAGACAGGAAAATATAGAAATGCCTGCAACTAAAAATGTGGATGGAGGATAGCAAAGCTGCTTCATTGACTGGAGAACCTCAGTGCAGCCTGTTAGCTTTCAAACTAGCACTGAGCTAATACATGTAGTATATGGCCATATA